GTTTTGCTTGAATAGCTCAAGAGCATTAAAATTAGAATACAATGAGCAGATAAGAATCATGTGTATAATCACCTCCAGATTTTCATTTGACATAATAAAGGTCAATCTTTCATCAATGACCCACTATTTCATCTAATCATACTTTTTTCAAAGTAATATCAACAAGTAAAATTTTAATATAACCTTGTCAAATAGATGCCTAAAATATGCCAAACCAAAATCTGTTTTACTGTTCTGTTCTGTGCTATGAACTGTATAAGTTTTGAAAAAGAAATCCTTTTTTTTTTCTGATTCACTAGCCCACATATGTAATTGAGCTGGTAATCTCTACCTTTCACCTCTATCACCCCCAGTTAAAACAACTGTTGAGAACCACAGCTTCATTGAGCACTTTGGGTACACAAGGGCACATGGTAAGAAATGTGACCTTTTTCTATCATCAGGTCAGAGTGTCTCACATTTTCTTGTGTTTTCACTGATAAATTTAAAACCTCAGCAGTAGTCAAGTTGATAGAAAGAAAGAGAGTTTTCAATCCAGAAAGACTCATGGACCAAAAACAGACCATTGAAAGTGATTTTAGCATTTATTTGAGCCTATTAACAGCATATCTGTTTTATGTATGACAGTTCATTGAGCACCCAGAAAGTATCTCAGAGTTTTGGATTCGGGCTGCTTTTACTGTATAAAAGCTCCAGTGGGTCTTTTTCTTCCTGAGTATGAACAAAGAGAAGTTTCCCATTTGGCTTTTGTAATGTTCCAAGATCAAAGGGGTTTATACTGAAAATTCAGCTCTATAAAGCCATGTGTAGCATGAATTCAGCCTGATTCTCCCAGATCCAGTGAAAATGGGGTGTTTGGCCATCAAGCTTTGAAAACCAGCATTACACAGGGTATAACCAGGATCCTGCATTAGTTTCTACCTTCACGGAAATGGTCCCTTAGTGTCATCTTGGCAGTGTTGTTGGGATGGCCTGAAGCCACTGACCTAGCAAATTTCCTCAAAATTGTTCCCCTGAAACAGTGCAGAGAAACAAACTCTTGGCAGTATAAATGCTCCCTGGGTCTGGAAATTTCATAAGTCAGAGTTAAAATAAAGATTGGCCTAAAGTCTTTTGCTGGTGCAGAGTCTGAAGTATAAATTGTCTGGAGCAAGGAACCTTTCCTGGCTCTTTGGTGCTGCCTCTCTAACTGTTATAATAATAAAACATGTTTTCAAAACTGTGTGGTGATAAAATGAAAGCCTTTAATATTGGAAAGATACTTGGAATCTAGATTGGTCATCTGGTTCAAGTTCTCTGGTTTTCTTTTACTGCTTCTCCAGCATTTGCATAGGAAACTCATTTTTGTTTTGTTTTTTTTGAAAAGCAAGTTTCATTCTTGTTCAGTCACTGAGTCATGTTGGACTCTTTGCCACCCCATGGACTGCAGCACACAAGGCTTCCCTGTCCACCATCTCCCACAGTTTGCTCAAACTCATGTCCATAGAGTCAGTGATGCCATCTAACCATCTTATCCTTTGACATCCACTTTTCCTCTTGCCCTCGATCTTTTCCAGCCTCAGGATCTTTTCCAGTAAGCTAACCCTTTGCATCAGGTGGCTGAAGTATTGGAGCGTCAGCTTCAGCATCAGCCCTTTCAATGAATATTCAGGGTTGATTTCCTTTAGGATTGACCAGTTTGATCTCCTTGCCATCCATTTGGAGGTTTTTCCTATCTTACATATTTTGTAAGAACTATTTCATTCATTTACTTCAAGTAAATTTAATTCTGAGTCTCAATGCTTCTGGACTAAAGCAGTATCATTGTCAGTCCTTTTGGAGGCCCATTGGCTGTCAGGGTTCTGGTTCTGTCACAGAGCTCCTTGACACTGGGGACCCTTGGTCATTGTCATCAGTTCACCCTGGTAATCACCAAGCCACACTTGCCCTAGCCTGATGATCTCTTCAGAAGTCCTGCCACTTCCAGGCCCTGATGCTTGGGACTCAGGACTTCTTTCAAGGTGGGATCCATAACACCTAGAGTCTGCTGCCCTTGACCATTGTGTGCAGGTTCTTGCAACTTGTTTGTGGGTGGGTGTGGCAGGGAATGGGAGGACACTGAGCAGTGTCAATTCCTCAGTTCTCAGGGGACACACAATTCTCTGTTTCTAGTCCCCATTCAAAAGCTGTTTTCTGCATTTCTCTAATAATTAATGATGCTTAGCATCTTTTCATGTGCCCCTTGGCCATCTATGTCTTCTTTGGCGAAATGCCTCTTTAGGTCTTCTGCTCATTTTCTGATTGGATTGTTTGGGGTTTTTTTTGTTATTGAGCTGCATGCGCTGTTAGTAGATTTTGGAGATGAATCCCTTCTCAGTTGCTTCGTTTGCAAATATTTATGTGGAATCTAGAAAAATGATACAGTTCAGTTCAGTCACTCAATCATGTCTGACTCTTTGCGACCCCACGAATAGCAGCACACCAGGCCTCCCTGTCCATCACCAACTCCCGGTGTCCACCCAAACCCATGTCCATTGAGTTGGTGATGCCATCCAACCATCTCATCCTGTCGTCCCCTTCTCCTTCTACCCTCAATCTTTCCCAGCATCAGGGTCTTTTTTTTCAAATGAGTCAGCTCTTTGCATGAGGTGGCCAAAGTATTGGAGCTTCAGCTTCAGCATCAGTCCTTCCAATGAACACCTAGGACTGGTCTCCTTTAGGATGGACTGGTTGGATCTCCTTGCAGTCCAGGGGACTCTCAAGAGTCTTCTCCAATACCACAGTTCAAAAGCATCAATTCTTCGGTGCTCAGCTTTCTTTATAGTCCAACTCTCACATCCATACATGATCACTGGAGACACCATAGCTTTGACTAGATGGACCTTTGTTGGCAAAGTAATGTCTCTGCTTTTTAATATGCTATCTGGGTTGGTCATAACTTTCCTTCCAAGGAGTAAGCGTCTTTTAATTTCATGGCTGCAATCACCATCTGCAGTGATTTTGGAGCCCAGAAAAATAAAGTCAGCCACTGTTTCCCCATCTATATGCCATGATCTTCATTTTCTGAATGTTGAGCTTTAAGCCAACTTTTTCACTCTCCTCTTTCACTTTCACCAAGAGGCTTTTTGGTTCTTCTTCTTCACTTTCTGCATAAGGGTGGTGTTATCTGCATATATGAGGTTATTGATATTTCTCCCGGCAATCTTGATTCCAGCTTGTGCTTCTTCCAGCCCAGCATTTCTCATGATGTACTCTGCATACAAGTTAAATAAGCAGGGTGACAATATACAGCCTTGACGTACTCCTTTTCCTATTTGGAACCAGTCTGTTGTTCCATGTCCAGTTCTAACTGTTGCTTGCTGACCCGCATACAGGTTTCTCAAGAGGCAGGTCAGGTGGCCTGGTATTCCCATCTCTTTCAGATGAATCTATTTATATGGCAGGAATAGAGAGGTAGCCACAGGGAACGGACATGTGGACATGGGAATGGGAGGAGGGGTGGGATGACGTGGGAGAGTGGCATTGGCGTGTGTACACTACCATATGTAAAACAGATAGCAGGTGGGAAGCTGCTGTACGGTGCAGGGGCTCAGCTTCATGCTCTGTGGTGACCTCGCTGGGTGGGATGGCGGGGAGGGAGACCCAAGAGGGAGGGAGTATATGTATACACACAGCTGATTTACTTCGTTGAACAGCAGAAATTGTAAAGCATTGTAAACCAACTGTACCCCCAACAAAAACAAAGTCACCCAGAAAAGCACACACAAGAAGGTGCTTTTCCTCTCCCAACAGTCTGCCAGGACACCTAGCACCTGCATTACCACCGTCTTTTCAGTGCCCTGCATTTCAGTTTTATAAGCAGCAGAAAGAACCAATGACTTCTGGTATATTCAGTTTTCAGAAACTGAAACACCACGAAAATCCGTGAGGCAAGGAATTTCAAAGCTTGACTTCTTGATCAATATGAGGGGGGAAAGGGGGGAAAATTGTATGAACATAGCAGTCAAATATTTTTTAAAAAGTCTTATCAAAACATATAAATAATTGGGTGCTCAGTCAGTTCAGTTATGTCTGACTCTTTGTGATGCCTATGGACTGTAGCCCACCAGGCTCCTCTGTCCATGGGATTTTCCAGCCTAGAATATGATATATAGGTGCAAATTCATCTGGAAGGATCCTTAGGAAACTGAGATAGTTGATGGTGGTTGTTTCTGGGGAGCCGGACTGATGGCCAGGTGCAGAAGGCAGTCCCTTTCTAGTTCACCACACCCCGTAGTTTTGCTTGAGTCCTTTATATTGGTACTTTGTATATGTTATTTTTATGATGATAAAAAATTAAAGGTTATTAATTCAAAGAAAAAAAATTTTTCATTCATTAAGCATGAGACACTTTCCTCAACCAAGCCTTACTTATCTTAACTAATTGTCCTGATTCTGTGGCTCAGAATCCTGAGTTCTGGAATTAATTTACCCAAGATTACACGATGCCCAAGAGTCAGGATTTGAGCCCACATCTACACATAGATCTGTGAATGCCCTTTCCCCCACCCCACACTCTGTCCTCCAGGGCTAGTTCATTCCACTAAGTTCTTGTCTTTCACTGCCCCAGTAATGAGGCCTGACAGACCCCCTTCATCAGGCCACACATTTATGCCAAATCCTTGAATACCAGTAAATACCTGAAACCATGTTTCAAAATATACCATAAAATGTAAATAAGAATGACACATAGTTCACCTCAAGTTTATACATAGCAGCAGCAGTACAGAGTTAACAGTAAAGCACATGGTGGAAGTTTAACTTGAAATGTTAGGCAAAACCAGTCCTAAATGAATGAAATAATAAACTTAGGAAAAATTAATTATACTTCTGAATATACCATAAATGTGTATTTTGTTTAAGTCAAATAAAAATGGCTTTATTAGCAAATAGCAAATTATGAGTTGCTGCCTATAGTTTCATGGTTGGCTTAAGGAAGCATTTCTTGTTATTAAAAATTAATAAGCATTTGTTTTTTATAGGATGCTATAGTTATACATGAAGTCTATGAAGAAGGGGCAGCAGCCCGAGATGGAAGACTTTGGGCTGGTGACCAGATATTAGAGGTATGTGATTACGCATTCTGGTTTGTACCAGCAAGTATGGTTCCTAATTTAGTGATCTTGATCCACAGTCAGTGTACCAATTCACAGTCTTCTACTCAATTATGTTGTAATCACCAAGTTGTGTCTGACTCTTTTGTGACCCCATGGACTGTAGCCCACCAGGTTCCTCTGTCCATGGGATTTCCCAGGCAGGAATACCGAAGCAAGTTGCCATTTCCGTCTCCAGAGGATCTTCCTGACTCAGGGATTAAACCTGTGTCTCCTGCATTAACAGGCAGATTCTTTACCACCGAGACACCTAGGAAGCCCCTACTCAATTATATCTTCACTTATTTGTTTCTCAGTGTGACAAAACATGTACTTTATTCTTTTTTCTTTTATTTATATCAAATAACTGTCAGTAGAATCATGACAGATTATTAATCTAAATCTGCGAAAACTTTTTTTTAAAATTAAAGGGGAAAGTACAACTAAACATTCTATAATCTAATGAAACTATAACTTCACAATTTGATTTTTTTTTGCTTTCCCACTATACCTTACTAAATTGCCTTCTAAAAGCACATACGTATAGATGTACACATAAACATGCACATTTGGTATTTTAAAAAACTTTATTGCAGCTTTAAGTATTAATAATTTTCTTATTCCTAGTAAGTATTTGCATCAAATGGAGGTCCCTGCCCTGGTACCTTTGTTTCCTAGCTGATGAAAATGTAGAATCCTCTCCCTTTAGGTGGTATATGGTACTTATTAAAAATTGAAATGCTTAACTTGCCTCTTTTGAAAGGGCTCTCATTTAGCAAAGGTGTTAAAGCCTTTTAAAAAGAGCTGAGGCTGGCAACATCTAAACTAGGGAATGGATGAATGGAAAGTTAATGCCAGGCATTCTGGTAGGTGAAACTAAAGAGCTTTTGCAATGGTGTGAAACTTTTAGGCAACATTTCTTTCTTTCATTGGATGAACTTAATTGAATAGTTAACATTTTGTGGTGGATATGTGTGTTTTTGCTTTGCAACTTTAATATAGCACATTATGAATGACATCATAGAATTTTATTTTTCCCTTTGGTGGTTCAAGTCTGCCTCCCAAGGTGAAACCAGAGATATAATTAAGGGTAGAAAACATAGGCAAGAAGGAGTTAAAAGAGAGACCGGGCTGACTGAAAATTAAATTCAGAGCAAGTTATAGGGTTTCTCTGCAGGCCTTTACTGTGCTTCATCATTGGATTAGGACATATTCCCAGTGCATTCATTAAGGTGCAAGTGTATGAGGTTAGAAAAATAAATGTAGCCTCTTTGGGAATTGACGTGACTGCTTTAGCATACACCACCATTTTTTGGTGGTCAGGAGTTTTGAGGGTTTTTTTTCCCCCTTTGTAGATTTTCTAATTAACTGGTGCTATCATAATTGGCTTTGTAGAGGAATAAACTGAATATTCAAAAGAGAACAGATACATACAGGTCTTGATACTTAACATGATTTGTAAGCCCACAAATTTTTCTGTAATAGTCATGTGGAGCTAAATCTATTTTTTTATTTTTATTTTTTATTTTTTATTTTTTTTAATTATTTATTTATTTATTTATTTTTTTATCACAACCATAGTGTATCTTTTTTTTTTTTTTTCTTTACATGTATTCCCCATCCCGGTCCCCCCTTCCACCTCCCTCTCCACCCAATCCCTCTGGGTCTTCCCAGTGCACCAGGCCCGAGCACTTGTCTCATGCAGGAGCTAAATCTAATATGTGCATTGCTTGATTGTGGCAATGGTGGCACAGGTATAAATTCACAGTATAAAGTGTATATTTTAAACTTGTATAGTTTATCTTATAGCAGTTATACCTCAATAAAAGAAATTTTTTAAAAATTTATCTACTCATTTTGAATAGACCCTCAGCTATAGCCATTCTCTTTCATAAAATATATTCATATACAAGTGAACACTCAGGACAGATGAGCATAAAGAAAGCAAATGTGTTTTAAGTGCATGGAGAATTTGAAAGGTCAACTAAACCATTTCCTGGCATCTGGCCGAATTATATTACCCAGTGTGCGTGGATGGTCTACACTTCTCATTAAAGATAGCCAGACAGGCTCTTCTCTTACACCAGACAGGATCTTGTCCACAAAAGCATATTGTGTATTTAGTTAAGAAATATACCTCTCAGTTTGGTCAGGGAACATGTTTCCTTCCTAAGTAGCCTTAGACTCCACATTTTAACTTGTTCTAATTGTGGTTGCTGTATATGGATACATAATGAGGCCTAATCAGCCTGGGGTCTGCAGGTTGCCTCAAGAAGAAGACAGGAAAACTTTGGTGATACATTTCCAAACAATGGCCTTTCTGCTCTTGAGAGTTCTCTGCATGGTGCAGGCTGGCCTTCATGAAAAGTGAAAATGAAGGTGAAAGTTGCTCAGTCATGTCCGACCCTTTGCAACAGCATAGACTATAGAGTCCATGGAATTCTCCAGGCCAGAATACTGCAGTGGGCAGTCTTTGCCTTTTCCAGGGGATCTTCCCAACCCAAGGATCAAACCCAGGTCTCCCACATTGTGGGCAGATTCTTTACCAGCTGAGCCACAGGGGAAGCCCAAGAATACTGGAATGGGTCACCTATCCTTTCTCCAGCAGATCTTCCCAACCTAGGAATTGAACCAGGGTCTCCTGCATTGCAACCAGATTCTTTATCAACTGGTAGCTCAACCCCTGATACTTCAGTTGGCCTTCCGTGGTTTTATACTATTGTTTTATGTTAAATTAGGACAACCCAGATTTTGCTTACAAATATATAGTGAAATAATATTTTAGCCTGACAAGATTTATCATTCTATGATTAACATGGGCTGTTTTCTTTCTGGTTCTTTTCTTAAGGGTCAGTCCCTCCTCTTACCCTTCCTCTATTCCCGTTATCCTCTTCTATTTTTCAGCAAGTGGGAGCAGAAAGAATAGAGAGCTAATACCTGGTTTTCCCTGTGGATAAAATAGTGAGGAGCTGCTGCCCTAGTCTGGTTATTCTTTCCTTCCAAAGCAGCAACTCACCCGTTTCCCCACAAGCCTTTCCTCCCCCAGGGACATGATAGACCCCCATTGACACCTGGGGCTTCCTGTGATCCTTCTCAAACAAGAAGCCCTGCTGTTACCGCTCCTCGTCCTTCACCATCAGTGTTCTAAATAATGCATCTGGGGCTTATGTAAGGCACTTAATACATCACTGCACCATATTCTAACCACTCAGCAGTGTTTCTCTTAGTATTGGTGCATTTAGTGGTGTCTCTTGGTGGCTCGGTGGTAAAGAATTTGCCAGCCAATGCAGGAGACATGAGTTTGATTCCTGGATCAGGAAGATCTCCTGGAGAAGGAAATGGCAACCCACCCTAGTATTCATGGCATTCCACTCCAGCATTCTTGCCTGGGAAATCCCAAGGATCGAGGAGTCTGGCAGGGTACAGTCCATGACATCACAAAAAGTCAGACAGGACTGAGCAACTAAACAACAGCAACTTGATTCACAGATGAGAAAATGAAAACTTTGAACTTGCAACAGATCACTTTGATTTGGACAGATATCTTGATGTGGGTATTTAGAGTGAATTGCTTTTGTAATATTAGAGTTTAATGACAGTGCTTTTAATTAAAGCCATAATTGTTAAGGCCTTTCAAGGGGTATTTTAGAGGCTTAGAGAATTCACCTTCAATCCATGGAGGTAACTATTTTTCAGTTGAGTAGCAGAAGTGGTCTTGTGTGCCATCTATTGGAATATAGGAAAATAATCAGCTCAGACCACATTTTCTGGAGACATTGTTTTCCCCTTTGTCTGTGGGTTTACCTCGTAAGCAAAGGAAGTGTGATCATGGGCCTCAAGTAATAGCAAATGCTGTCACTGAGCACCAGCCCTGACTGTAGTTCCTTCAGTTCCTTGTAAAATATGTTTCTATTTTCTGTCAACCATGTGTCAGCCCTGTGCCAAACATACTACAGGATTTATTTCATTTAATCCTCACAACAAAGTACATAGATACTATAATGATTGTTGTTATTATTATCTCTAATTCATGGAAAGCAGACTTGAAACTCGTCTTGAGTTCTCTTTTTAAGGTTTCACATAGTATAAGTTGAAATCAGCACTCAAAGTGAATTCCATCTATACCTAAAACCTATGCTTAACTATTATTCTGGGTGTTGTTAATCTAAGTGATTCACAAACCCACCATGATATATCAGAAAAGAAAAAGCAGCTTGAAAATTAGGCTTTTAAATATTTTCTTGACTCACAGCATCAACTTTAAATAATCACTCAAAAGTCACTTTCTCCAGGAAGGGCTCATTCCTCTTTTCTCCTGTCTTTGTAATCACTCTTTAAGCACAAGTAGTGAGTCTTTGAAATGTTAGAAATGGAAAACCCTTAGCCCAGCCCTTCATTGTATAGGTGAAGGAATGTCAGTCCAGAGATAGATGGGACATGCCCAAGCCACACAGACTGAGACCAACATCTTGAGAGAAACTGGCCTTGGCCTGGGCCCATCCTTCCCTTGGTTTGGCTCTTTTCATAACTATGACCTTGAAGAAGGGACCTACAACTCCCTTCTTCTGAGTCTGGGTTACTGTGTCCATCAATTTGGCCCATGTGTCAAATTGACTTAGCAACATCCATACTAGACTTTCTCTGTGGCTGGGGAAAGTTTAAGAGTGAGATGAGTGAGGCAGCACAGCATAGAGAATATGGCTGGAAAGATAGTCTGAGTTCATATTATGGCCCCTCCATGTGCTAGCTGTATAACCTTGCTCAAGTCACTTAACCTCTGCATGCCTCAGTTTCCTCATCTGTAAAATGGTAATAGTATCAGAGAGTTCATGTAAATGCTCATAAAGGGCTAATTTAATTTCAGTCTCTGGATCAGGAAGATCTCCTGGGAAAGGAAATGGCAACCGACTCCAGTATTCTTGCCTGGGAAACCCCATGGACAGAAGAGCCTGGTGTTCTGTTCAACCCCGTGAACAGAACAGTCCATAGGGTCGCTAAAGAGTTGGACACAACTTAGCAACTAAACAACAACACAACCATTTGTTAAGTGAAAAATAAGTTGGCTATGATTTCCATTGAACAGACAAGGAAAACGGAGCTTCATAGAGGTTACACAACTTGCCCAGATTCACATGACTGACTAGAAGCAGGGCCTCGGTTTCACTCAGTGCTGTTTCCAATGTATTTGATGTCTAATGCATGGCCCTGTCTGTCTCACTCAGATCCAGATTCAAATCAGTGGACTTCAGAAAGTCTTTGACCATGTCAGAAATACCAGCCCCTCATTTCCTCCTTGCCTGTTCTGAATTAGTCGTGATGTCAGCAATTAAGAGTGAGGATGTCAAGTTCAATCAGCAAACTGAATCCAAAAAATACTGACCAAGCACTAATGTTTATTTCCCCTTTGACCTCAACTGAATGAGCCAAGTAGTCCCTGCTCTCTCGTGTTGAGTCCATAGTAAAGTTCACAGCTACCTAAAATTGCAGTGTCATGTGACTAACCCACCCTCTGTAATTACTTGGGGCAGGGGAGTGTAAGGGCCACATCCATTGTACCTGAAGCAGCTGTGACTGCTAGTGGGCACTCCCTGTGTGCTTTGGGATTAGCTGGAAATTTCTGGAGGCTTTTTTTTTTTTTCATTTATTTTTATTAGTTGGAGGCTAATTACTTTACAATATTGTAGTGGTTTTTGTCATACATTGACATGAATCAGCCATGGAGTTACATGTATTCCCCATCCCGATCCCCCCTCCCACCTCTCTCTCCACCCGATCCCTCTGGGTCTTCCCAGTGCACCAGGCCCGAGCACTTGTCTCATGCATCCAACCTGGGCTGGTGATCTGTTTCTCTCTAGGTAATATACATGTTTCGATGCTGTTCTCTTGAAACATCCCAACCTCGCCTTCTCCCACAGAGTCCACAATTCTGTTCTGTACATCTGTGTCTCTTTTTCTGTTTTGCATATAGGGCTATCGTTACCATCTTTCTAAGTTGCATATATATGCGTTAGTATACTGTATTGGTCTTTATCTTTCTGGCTTACTTCACTCTGTATGATGGGCTCCAGTTTCATCCATCTCACTGATTGGGTCAAGGAGCTGCTGGAGGCAGAGAGGTCTCTGCTGTTGCATCCTGTCTCGGATGCCTGTTGTTCCAGGTTAATGGGATTGACCTGCGGAGTGCCAGCCACGAAGAAGCCATCACAGCCCTGAGGCAGACCCCTCAGAAGGTGCGACTGGTGGTGTACAGAGATGAAGCGCACTACAGGGATGAAGAAAACTTGGAGATTTTCCCCGTGGATCTGCAGAAGAAGGCTGGTCGAGGACTGGGCTTGAGCATCGTTGGAAAACGGTAAGGAAATCGTGTCAGTCAGGATTGATCAGCCTTGTTCCTTCAGAGTTCTAGGAACTAAAGCCAATAAACACTGAAAGATAAAGCCGCGTATAAACTAATGATGTGATTTCTAAAATTAACATTTTTATGACTATTTGAATGAGATAGGTCATGTTACTAAGAAAGACCTTAGCCAAAAAACATGTCATATAAAGATAAACTCTAACCCAAATCAACCCAGACTGTTCTGACTTTTTTTCTCATAAAGAGTTAAAACAGAGTCAACAAGGCTCTTTCTACTTGGAGTCACTTAGATCTAAGGCTGGCAGGGGTTGGTTAAAGTGACCATACCTGAGAGACAGGTGGTATCAAGAAAGAGATTTACATGTACAGTGTTGTGTTAGGGAAATTGCTCTACCATAGAGTGCCATGTTAATTTCATACTCTGTGCAACCAGTTGAGGAGTTACTAGTTGAGTTGGTTGACATGGTCAAGAGACATTGATTCTTCGTGACAGTAGTCTTCTATTAAGAAAGATGTCTTGCAAATAATAGCTTGCACCAAAATATAGGTAGATCCTGGTGACCAGGCTACTCTTTTGAAAGCTTTGCTCCTTACCCATGTGATAGGAATTGCAGTAATTATTTCAGAACAGTATTAGTAGACTAGAGAAATTAGTAAGATCTTAAAACTGTAGTTCCAGCTTCCACAGTTTACTGGCTTTAGATATCATCTAGTGTGTATTTATTCCAACAGGGCTCAGGATTTTCATGTGATGCTCCAATATAGCCTTAAATGGTATCAACCATATTCTTAGGAAGAATCGAAGCTGGTTTTATATATTGTGTCACGTACCCCACTGACCTTTGTTGACTAGCCTAGTGCTTTGTTCCAAATGGTCTGGTCTATTATTAAGATATTAGCTACCATTTTTGAGCACTGGTTTTGTGCCACTGTATACTCACGATCTTATATTTTATTTCAACACCATAAAACCATCACTTTGGAAATGTATTACAAAATAAAAGACCTGAGACTCATAAGCATACTCAGTACACCTAAGGGTGCAGAATAACTGACAGAGCCCACATTGAAGCTTGCTTTCTTGTTGTGATCATACATGTGCCTGGAGAGGGTCCTTTTAGAGTAATGGTTTTTTCCTTTATTGTCTCAGAGTGGATTGGTGAAATAATCTTCATACAACATGAGCATTTTAGATTGAGTTTGTAAGGAACATTTACATTCTTAGCACAAAAGGTTTTATTGTAGAAGATCAGATGTATAAGCTCTCAAAATTCTTTGCCTAGCAATTCCACAACTAGGAATTTATCCTACAGGCTTGTAGATATGTTATTCACTGCACATTGCTTACAGTAGCTAGAGAAGTAAATAACCTATATTTCCATCAACAACTCACTAATAAATGAATTTAATGAATAGTGTAGCTCCTCAAACACTGGGTAAGCTCCAGGTGGTAATAAAGACCAATTGCCATAGTGTGTTAAGAGAAAGAAAGAAAGTTAAAAGGAACAAAGCTGGAGGGAAAAAAGACTATATGTTCTTTTATATCCACGTACACAGATATGTACTATACACACGTGCATTGCTTATGTAGACACAGAATATTGCTCTTCCCAGGTGGTTCAGTGGCAAAGAATCCGTCTTCCAATGCAGGAGACATGGGTTCAGTCCCTGTGTTCAGGAAAATCCCCTGGAGGAGAAAACGGCAGCCCCCTCCAATATTCCTACCTGGGAAATGCCATGGACAGAGGAGCCCGGCGGGCTGTAGTCCATGGGGGTCACAAAGAGTCGGACACAACTGAGTGACCGAGCACGCATGCACACAGAATGTCTCCTGGAGATAATAAAGAAATGGGAAACACTGGTTATTTCTGAGAAGGGAATTTGGAGACGGGAAACAGAGATGAGAGGGGAAATTTTCAAGGTCACCCCTTTTTAACCTCTTGAATTTTGAGACATACACTTATTTATTCATCAAATAAATATAATTAAAACCTTAAAGTAATAAAGGCAGGGAAAGAGAGGAAGAGTGAAAAAGAGACTAGAAACAGATGAGATGATAATAATTGAGCTAATTGCTAAAGAAATAATGTGTATGTTTTAACAGTACTTAGCTGTTTTTTTAAAGTGAATTTCCATTTCATTTCACTAAAATTATCCTCTTGCAGAATTTATGCCCTTGGGCCAGTGAAAGTGAATAATACAATAGGCAACATAAATAGATATAAGCTATTTAAAGGGTGAGCACTCTGAGGCTTATTATTTGGGAAGAATATCTGTAATCTCAGGTTTAATATAGAAATATTGGGTTGTGCCATTACTCTGCTTTATGGTATTCACAGAAATGGAAGTGGAGTGTTTATTTCTGACATCGTGAAAGGTGGAGCCGCAGACCTTGATGGGAGATTAATTCAGGGAGATCAAATTTTATCTGTGAATGGGGAGGACATGAGAAGTGCTTCCCAGGAGACAGTGGCCACTATCCTCAAGGTGAGTCCCTAGCTGCTTTCTGCCTCCCTGGTATATCTCAAATCCAATGGTAGTGGTTCTAATTTATCTTCTTTATAAATGTATTGAATTTTATAAAATGTGTTGATGCTAGAGTTTTACTAGAGACCTAGTCTCTGATTATTTTAACCAATTAGAAATAGCTGCTAAAGAAAGCTATTGTATTGATTAACAGGATTGAAGGGACCCTTGTTTGGGGATGTAAGCTAGTTTTTCATACTTTCGAGAATTCCAAGTACCCGCAGTTGTTCTCTAAAATCATTCAATGGGGTAGATTCTCCTGGAGTCACAAAAATGTATCCTCTTCCCTCTTGGGCTACATTATCATGAATTCATCAAATCCAGCTTTTATTGCTTGAAGGAATATTAAAGATGCTAAAGACCAAATCCTCCACCTCACAATGAAGTCCTGACAAAGCAGAGTGGCATGCCCAGATACCAGAGCTGTGCTTGAGTTTTTCTGTCTCTCAAGCTGTTTCTCACTGAGGCTGTAGAGTGACTGGGGCTCAAGATTCCCTTCCAACTGACTGTTTCTGCACATGGACCCTACCTGCCTTGGAAGAAACTGGTGAATAAAAATCCTCATAAATGGCCATTCAGCTCTCACCGGGTGTATCTTATTCTGTTTCACAAATAATAGTAGCTGTAGGAGCTTTTACAAAATAAATGAATTCTGTTTCTCTCAAAATCCTGATTTTCTAAAATAGTTTACTATCAGTTATTACTCAAGAGAAGACTTGTATCAGATTACCCGTCTGTTACCTCTGTGTTTGATTTTTTCCCCATCCTCCTTTTCACCACTTTTTCTTCATCATTTCACTGCTCACAAATACTTTCGTCAGAAGGGAAGAGAAAGAGAAAGGAGGTGAATTGAAGTGTAATCTTTTTAACATGTTTGAAGAAGTGAGGAAATCGTGAGATGAGTAGCATTGAGTTGATATATTTTTGTGACCTTACGTGATTTTTTTGATAACTGAATTTCCTTTCTACGTGTGGCCTTCATCAGCCATTTATGTTCTTGGCTGCGGCGATTAGTGGAGGCACTACCGTAATAATTTAGGACACAGATGCTGCTGTTTCTCACCTGTTCTTTTCCTGCTTCCCAGTGTGCACAGGGGCTTGTGCAGCTTGAGGTTGGAAGACTCCGAGCTGGTTCCTGGGCTTCCTCGAGGAAGACATCACAGAACAGTCAGGTTGTTGGTGGCTTCCTGTTAGACTCGCTCATGCACCTGTCCCAACTGGGAGAAATTTTCCCATTTCATAAATGATCGTTTGGAAATAATATGTAATATATAGCATATCCATGACACTAAGTTTGGTGTACTTTAATGTGTTTGGAATAAAAAATGAAAGGTGGGATGGAAACTCATTAATCCCTAGATTTTTCTCTCCTTTATTGCCTGCAAATATTTTCTTAGAACCACTTTTCTCTCCCGCTATTCTATATTGCCTAGGCATTGCATGTACACAGCTGTGTTTATTTAAAAAAAAAAGAAGCAACATCTGGTGGCAATTTGACCCTCATTAGCACAACATTGTTCTATTCATTCAATTAAATATAGCTATAAAGTTAACTTGTGAATAGCCACTCACACATGCTGAGGGCAGTTAATGGTATATTCCTGGGAGAGCAAAATATGGGAGTTTCTCCTGTAGGAGGGAGGCCTTAGTGGGTGATACTTTGTGGGTTAGCAAACGTCTCATGTTTATTTGCAACGCTGATGTAAATGCCACTTTTTTTTTCTAACATAGTATATTTCACTGTATTTTTTCTTCACTGTGATGTCTGACAAAATCAAGATGATAGACTATGTGTTAAGCCTTATTTCGTATATAATGAAATTATAGAAACATACATGTGACCCCCTAATCCCCTTTGCGTGTTATTAGATGGGCTTTGTTTTGAGGTTAAAAGCATGATGACTTTTGGTCTCCTTCCTGATTTCCTTAGACTTAAAACCTCTCCAAGGCCTTTGTTTGGAAGGGGTTCTGATTTTATGGTTAGCCCACAGGTGCTTCTGGAATCCTATTAGCTGCCCCTTTTGCCTCATTTATGCTAGGAAATGAGTGAAGGAAATTACCATTGTTCAGATGGAATCACAGGTTAGTTGGCTTGCCTTAGATAATCGTTAGGGCAAGCAAACCGAGTAAACATCGTTAAGTTTTTGGGCTTTTTGTTGTTGTATTTGCATTTCTGGCTTATGTAATGGGCAGCAAATATCATGTGTATTAAAAGAGAGTGGTGCAGTAGGATTCTAGACCTCAATAAATGGTGAAAATTCTGATCAGACTTGTATCAAAAGTAGGAAATTGAGATTCAAAATAGTTGTCTTGGGGGCGTGGGCTCAATCGCTCTGTTGTGTCCAACTCTTTGCAACCCCATGGACTGTAGCCCACCAGGCACCTCTATCCATGGGATACTCCAGGCAAGAATACTGGAGCGGGTTGCCATTTCCTCCTCCAGGGGATCTTCCCAACCCAGGAGTTGAACGATGTCTCCTCCATCTCCTGCATTACAGGCAAATTTTTTACTACTTGAGCCACTGGGGAAGCTACTAGTTGTCTTGGCTTCTTCCTTAATGGAAGATTCGACTTAAGTGATTTCATCAAAGCCCCATTGTACATAGGGGTTAGAATGTAGAATAGACAATACTGGAGATGAAATTTTTCTTCCTGTAGAGTACATGAAGGTGACACATGAGAAAAGGAGTTTGATAAACTGAAGAGAACGAGAAGGCCTCCCAGACAGAGAATGTAGCATAGGCAGAAGCACGAAGGGGTACAAGGAGGTCTGGTGTTTTAAAAAGAGTTTGAACTGACAGGAGAGGTGGTGGGTAGAACTGGATTTCTGTCCTTGAAGAATGTATATATGCATCCAGGAAATTAATAAAGTTCATACTCAGGTGAAATACAAAGATAACAAATTTAGAGACTCTACCATTCAATGTCAAAAGCCCACCATTACCACTTATCTGGTAGGTAAATGTGAGCTGTCATATTTTGGAAACCTGGGACGAAGTACCAAATACTTTTCTCTAACCTCTTTACACAGAATTTTCATTTCAGAGGATAGAAGTTTAACTCGATGTTAAGAAAAACAGCAAATATATTCTATCCTTACTTTATCCTTAAAAGTAAGACCCAAATGAAATGAGTCTGTACTGATAGGTAGCTAGTGAGAAGGAGGTCAATAGCAGGCTATGAAAAGGAAGTGTCCTGCATCTTCATGAGCTGAAGACCAGCCCACGATCCAGATGGAGAAAAAGAGGAACCTATTCCCAAACATTTCCCCTAACGAAGAAAATATAATAAAATATTAATTTTGGAATCTAGGTGGTATGTCTACTGTACCATTCAACTTTTCTACAAATTTAAAATTTTTCATATTTAAGGAACACTGAAATATTAAACAACTTGCATCATACTAAGGAAATGGATCAAATTATAATTTGATTGTCAGGTGATAATTGTAGTCTTAGATTTACTTTAAAATTTTGAGGCAATTAAGGCATAACCTTGAGAATTTGATAGAAAAAAGTTCTTTGTTCATTATTGATGTCATTGTTTTGTGCATTGGGAAGATCCTTCACTGTGCATATGATTTTCATTAAATAGCCCCAGCCAGACATTACTATAAATTATCTAAATTTATTTAAATAAACATTCAGTTCAGTTCAGTTCAGTTCAGTCACTCAGTTGTGTCTGACTCTTTGCAACCCCAAGAATCGCAGCACACCAGGCCTCCCTGTCCATCACCAACCCCCAGAGTTTACCCAAACTCATGTCCATCGAGTCGGTGATGCCGTCCAGCCATCTCATCCTCTGTCGTCCCCTTCTTCTCCTTCCCCCAATCCCTCTCAGCATCAGGGTCTTTTCCAATGAGTCAACTCTTCGCATGAGGTAGCCAAAGTATTGGAGCTTCAGCTTCAGCATCAGTCCTTCCAATGAACACCCAGGACTGATCTTCTTTAGGATGGACTGGTTGGATCTCCTTGCAGTCCAAGGGACTCTTAAGAGTCTTCTCCAGCACCACAGTTCAAAAGCATCAATTTTTCGGCACTCAGCTTTCTTCACAGTCCAACTCTCTCATCCATACATGACTGGAAAAACCATGACCTTGACTAGATGGACCTTTGTTGGCAAAGTAATGTCTCTGCTTTTTAATGTGCTATCTGGGTTGGTCATAACTTTCCTTCCAAGAAGTAAGTGTCTTTTAATTTCATGGCTGCAGTCACCATCTGCAGTGATTTTGGAGCCCCAAAAAATAAAGTCTGACACTGTTTCCACTGTTTCCCCATCTATTTCCCATGAGGTGATGGGCCCAGATGCCATGATCTTCACTTTCTGAATGTTGAGCTTTAAGCCAACTTTTTCACTCTCCTCTTTCACTTTCATCAAGAGGCTCTTCAGTTCCTCTTCACTTTCTGCCATAAGGGTGGTGTCATCTGCATATATGAAGTTATTGATATTTCTTCTGGCAATCTTGATTCCAGCTTGTGCTTCATCCAGCCCAGCGTTTCTCATGATGTACTCTGCATATAAATTAAATAAGCAGGGTGACAATATACAGCCTTGACGTACTCCTTTTCCTATTTGGAACCAGTCTGTTGTTCCATGTCCAGTTCTCACTGTTGCTTCCTGACCTACATACAGGTTTCTCAAGAGGCAGGCCAGGTGGTCTGGTATTCCCATTTCTTGAAGAATTTTCCACAGTTGATTGTGATCCACACAGTCAAAGGCTTTGGCATAGTCAATAAAGCAGAAATAGATGTTTTTCTGGAACCCTCTTGCTTTTTCAATGATCCGGTAGATGTTGACAATTTGATCTCTGGTTAGATTTATTTGAAAGTACAGTAATGAAGGTGGCACTAGGGGTAAAGAGTCTGCCTGCCAGTGCTGGAGACATAAGAGACGTGGGTTTGATCCCTGGATCAGGAAGATTCCCTGGAGGAGGAAGTGGCAACCCACTCCAGTATTCTTGCCTGGAGAATCCATGGACAGTGGAGCCTGATGGGCTATGGTCCACAGGGTCACAAAGAGTTGGACATGACTGAAGTGACTTAGCACAATGGAGGTATAACAGATTGAGCTGAATTATTACCAACTCTAGGAAAATCTTTGAGAAAAAAATTTTTAAATATTCCTAAAATAATGTATTCCCTTGATATTTGCTGCTTTTTCTTACAGTTGAGCATTCTGTATAATCAAGTTCCTGTTAATCTAGATTTTCAGTTCAGTTGCTCAGTCATGTCCGACTCTTTATGACTCCATGGGCTGCAGCACCCCAGGCTTCCCTGTCCGTCACAAATTCCCAGAGCTTGTTTTAACAAAATAGCTCATGTGTTTGGGTAATAAGAAAATAAATGTTCACTGCACCCCCAAATGACACTTAGTGTCATTAACTGATCATATGTAAACACTGTGTAACATACTAAGAAAATGTTTCTGATTTCATCTGGCACACAAAAAGCTGAAATTACTGCATGCTTTCTACCTTGATGATTGAAACCACGTATAAAAGCACATATAATGGAGAAAGTAGTGGAGCAAATGTTAAATGAGATTATTTAGGGTGATGAGAGAGGGAGTGTGAGTTTTCCTTTTTGTTTTCTTTTTTGGCCTCCACAGAATTTTCTATTACATGGTTATGGTTACTTCAGTAAGTAAAATAGTAATAATAACTATGAATTTCTAAAACTGACCACTGAGTTTCCTTTTCAGGGGAGTCAGCATAGCACACACAGCGGCTTCCATCCTTCCCTGGCTCCTGTCATCACCAGCCTGCAAAACCTGGTTGGCACAAAACGAGCTTCAGATCCTTCCCCCCAAAATTCAGGTATCACTTCAGACACACCATGCGCAAAACCATCCTGCTACCTAATTTTTTTAAAAAATGAGAAAAATAAATTTACTGGAGTACAGTTGATTTACAATGTTGTATTAGTTTCAGGTGTACAACAAAAATGTTTTTAAACCTTTGAACACAGCCACATAAACTTTCTGAAAGCCCTGTTCTAAAGGAAGGAAAGCCATAGAGATCTGTGTTTGGAATGTGCCTTAACTTTATACTTGAAAAGGAGAAAAGCAGAAATCTAAAACTACTTCATAAAGTAAAACCATTTCCAAAGAGAAAATTTAAAAATTATGGATCACACAAGGAAGGTCAGAGTGCATATCCCATCATGGGTGGGGCAGGGAAGGGGGTCTTTTTTAAGTCTTTCCTTGGGTAAAGGTATCTTTGATTAAGGCAGAAAAATGTGCAGTGAGATACAAATGGCTCACCCTCCAAGCCATTTACTCACCATATTCCAGGCAGCTGCTGCTATAGTCCATCGGCTTTTGTCAGACTGAATGATTATGGCCACATCTATCTCAAACAGAGAGGACTTGTTAAAAATAGAGGACATAACCCCTGATAGATGGTCACCAGTTAGAATTTTGAGAAAGGGTATAATGCCTTCTTGCCTCAGTATTCTCTCCTTAAAGACCTAAAAAATGATGCCATTTTCATGGGACAATATTATATCCTAGATATGTTATCTCTTACTTTTAAAAAGTTAATTTGTTGCTTCTTTATAGGCACAGATGTGGGACCAAGGACTGTTGAGATAATCAGGGTAAGTCAATGATTTTGTTTTTGTTTTTTCCTCTTTGTTTTGGATTTGCATAATGTGTACATCTTCCCCTCAATGCAATGTATTGGATTGTTAGTGTGCTTTTTTAAGTTACTGAAGTAAATATATGGTCTATGTAACACAAACATACTTAGAAAAAATAAAGCAAAGCACATTCATGACCACCGAATTTTTTGGTGCATCCCATCCACTTCATCTTGTGTCCCATGTTTAATAAAAACAAACAAAAAAAATGGTATCAATTAGACGTACTGTTGTAGCTTGCCTTTTTAACTTTACAGCACGGACTCTTAGTCATGCAACTAAGTATTTTTTGACAGCATATGGCATGATTTTTGTCAGTTAGCATAGTGTTCCATCATATCAATGTGCTGTAATTTTTCTTAGCCAATGTCCTCTTATTAAACAAGTAGCATATTTCTCAACTTTTGCCATCTTTTATAGCAAAAGATGTCTGTATTTTCTTTTGGCTCATATCATGGGTATTTTCTTTAGGATTATTTCTTAGAAATGAAATTGTTGGGTCAAAATCCACACTTGTTTTTTAAAGGCTTTTATACATAATGCTAAATTGCTCTCCCGAGAAGACTGTGTAGGATGTATTTCAGTTCATAAAGTCATCAAATCCTAATTTTCAGACTCCTGTGTGATATGCAGAGTGTTAGAAAGCACTTTTATTTTCTCATGCTTATTGTTAAATTTGGGATTCAAGAAGTAATGAAAAAAAATATGACTTTGTTGTATTCATAGTTCAGCTGTAGTAAAGTGATATCCAGCTTAACTGGGTTCTCTGCACTCAATTATAGTTATGTTTAAAGACACTTTACCGTTTGTTAGCTTTATGACCTTTGTCGAGTTACTTAAGCTCAATTTGCTCATCTGTAGATTGGGCTTATAACACCTCACACGGTAAATCTTGTTGTTTGGATTAATGAGGTCATGCACGCAGTGTACTTAGCAGAGTACCTAGTTCATCATGAATGTCCAGGAAGTGGAATCCTGTATCATTGGCTACAGCTTTGACTAAATCTGCCTGATTATTCTAAGTATCTTTCCATCAGAGTGGCAACTCAAATGTTCCTTGGATGGAGAAGTTAAAATGTACCAATATGTGCATAATTATGGATAAATTAAAGAAACCTCATAATGAATTTGAACATAACCAAATTATTCTATAAATTTCTCATTCCAAGATTTATAGCATATCATTTTCTGTTTTCTTAGTCATTTCAGCTGCTTGTTTTTACAGGCTTTTATAAAAAGGCCAGTTCCTACCCACCCTGTTTTTCTACATATAGTCAGAGCAGAAACTTTATAATGAAACGCATCTTGCCATTTGCATGTAGGGCTTTACTATTGATGCATTCAGATGCATATAGAAGCTGGGCACAAACTTTGGAAAACAGGGTGTTGAAGTTTTTTCTCGTATGGTTTTTTGTCATTCTGTTCTTTTTCCTTTCTCCAACTTTACTGAGGTAAAATTGAAGCACACTGACCTATGTATATTTTTAAGTGATCAGGTAAAACTACAGAAGCCTTGCAACCCTGTAGGTCCTAGGTCCTTTTCCCCAAACCATTCCCCTAACATGTATGTCCTTGTTATCATATGTTCACAGCTGCATAATTTGAGAGCCCTGCCAGACAATGGTATCATCTTGGCTTTAAACTGTCCTACATATTTGAAAGAACTTAAGAAAATTCGTCACATTTCCCTGGTTCTTTGCATGTCAAGTAACTTGGGGTTTTCCCAACCCTGCTGAAGGTTATGCTATATAGACCCTGAAGAATGCTGTTTATGTTAGGCTCATATTGCAAGTTATGTTACCTTTGGTGAGTGGTGGTTCAAATCTCAGTTCAGTTCCCAAATGTGGGTCTGTCCCTCACGAGTGTGGCTTAGAGTTGAGCTTCAGAATTCTGTGGGTTCACAGGATCCCTCTCTCTGACTCTTTCTACTTTAGTTTTCTTCCTTCATTCTCCAGCCATCAGGTATCCTTTTCCTGTTTCTTCTGACCAGAAAGATGAGTTAACTTCAAAGTTTTAACAATTTGCACCAACTTTATGGGGGTTTCCCAGGTGGCACTTGTGGTAAAGAACCCACCTGCCAATGCAGGAGACACAAGAGACTTGTGTTCGATCCCTGGATCAGGAAGATCCCCTGGAGGAGGAAGTGGCAACCCACTCCAGTATTCTTGCCTGGAAAATTCCATGGACAGATGAGCCTGGCGGGCTGCAGTCCATGGGGCTACAAAGAGTTAGGTCTTCATTTTAATCTGTAGGAACAAGATGCTATAGGGTATATATGCCCCCACGTTGAAACTGGAACTTACCATTTGTTCTTTTAGTGATTTTTAAAACACTAACCCTGTGATACACATGTAAGAGAAATCTGGACAAAGGCCAGGGTCTCTTCAGCAGGGTCAGAGTGAGCCAAACGGTCTCACCTAATAATCTTAGGGAACATTTTCAGCCATGTGTTACTTCTCTCTCCAAACTCTGTAGTCACGACAGTGGGCATCCTTGAAGATCCTTTGTTCTAACTCAGTCCTGCAGCTCCTTCAGAGCCAAGTGTGTTTGTTCACACCCAGAAGAGCATGATATGTGCGGTAATTTAATCATAAACACTATACGAGGGTATACTTGCCAAGTCTGCATCAGAATTGGCCACTGAACAGCAGTAGCAGAGGGTTTGCTTTTTTCTTTCTTTTTTTTTAAATTTTTACTCCTACTGTTGCATTTTATTGAGCCTTTTCTGTGGTCCAGGACTGTACTATATCACCTCACTTAATCCTCAGATCAACACTGTGAGGTAGGTGGTTTTCTTTCCACTTTATGAAGAGATGGAAGCGCTAAGAGGTTAAGGAACTTCTTAGGACACCGCCCCCCATCCCACTGTCCCAGCCAATTAAGTACTTAAGTTAATGAAGAGCTGAAACACTGATCTTTCTGACTTCCAAAGCACTGAAGTTAATTCCTGTGCTCAGCTGACGTCCTGTGTCACAGGAATTTTGTTCAGCAACTCTGGGGACCATCAGGTTGTGGCTCTTCATTAAACATATAAGCATTGTTTTTCTTCTTTTTTTTAGGAGCCCAGTGATGCCCTTGGAATCAGCATTGCTGGAGGAAAAGGAAGTCCTTTAGGAGATATCCCAATATTTATTGCCATGATTCAGGCCAGCGGAGTGGCTGCTCGGACACAGAAGCTTAAAGTAAACAGCGGGTGGGGAAGTGCTCACACCATGTGATGGGGTGGGGTGGGAGAGGACCTGGTTGCCGGGGGCAGTTGGTTTAAAATTGGATTTCCAGCAGCCAGGAGAGACCCACACTGTGGGCAAAATGCACTGGAGACAGTTTGTACCTGAAATTCATTATGTCCCTAAGCATATAAAGAGATTATTGTTTATATCAAAGCTTCTCAGTGAAAGATGAAATTGCAGCTCATTTGCAAAGCTTCCCATATCATTTTTAGCACCACATTCCACCTGAAATTGATTTTCACCTGAGAAAGATTTGACCTTAGAATCTTCCTTCCACCAAAAGCATCAGCATTCTTATGATTTTTTTTCCCCATCACGCCTTAATCTTAGGTAGAAAAAAATAAAGCAGAAAATATTTGGCTTCCTCATTAGAGCTTCATTGAACAGGTAATTTGTGCACCCCACTATTACTAGCAAATGGATGTATGCAACACCACCATTACCCAGGTATAAAAGTGGCCTGCCGGGCCTTTTAATAATCAAATCTGACCCCCTTCTTATTTCTCTGATTGGTCTGTATTTGGGCGAAAGCCATAAAAATTCCTCATGCTTCTGGAACATGCATACACAGTAGAAACACCGAATCTTCACAATAGCCACAAATGGGAAATATGACTTACAAAGAATTTTAAGCATTCTTCTCAAATTTAATTTTTCTTAATGATAGTGATTTTTCTCTCACTTTTGTATTGCCAGGTTGGAGATCGGATTGTCAGCATTAATGGGCAACCTTTGGATGGGCTATCTCACGCAGATGTGGTTAATCTGCTGAAGAACGCCTACGGGTGCATTATCCTGCAGGTATTGTGATCAATGGAACTTGCAGCTGGGAGAGGCAGATAAGTGCCGAGCAAAAACGATTGAGCGTCACTGGCAGGAGGCATCACCGCCCAGCAGGGTGCTTGGTGATGTGAATTATGAAGGTTGAAAGCAAGAAATTATTATTTTTATTCAAAAATTCTTTAATGCCACCCATACAGGCAGTGAGCATGATTATATGAAAGCATAACAAGGGGAGAAAAATTACTCTTTGCTTCACATGATAAATCAACAAGGCTTTTAGCTTCTGGTGTTCTTTTGTAAATCCGAGTTTGCATGGAATAGGAAATGATTTCTTTTCTTATACCCCAAAACTGCATCTGAACTGCCCAAGTGCTGTTTCTTCCAGTCCTTTAAAGGACAGGAAAAGTAACAATGCTTTTTTTCCTGTAGCATAAATGATTGCCAGCACTGCTAAATACTTCATAGTAGTCATCAACTATGACTACTAGGCAGACAATCATATTTCAGCTGTGGTCCCCAAGAGTATTCTCCAGAGGCACAGGGAAATATACCAGAAGTAAAAACAAGGTGTACTCTTAGTCACCCCTCCTTCTCTTTCAACACTTCAAATATCTCTGAGATTGATGTCATGCATTGAGCAGCATACTGGCAGCCAGTTTCATTACTGAGCTCCCCCCAAAATCTATGATTATAAACACCATCCTTCTGCAGGGGTAATATTAAATGGTCTATAGGTAAAAAGAATAAAGCCCACCATTTAGTATCTCAGAGAAAGGGCTAACCAACCCCTCCAGTCATTCTAGTTTTTAAATAATAAGTTTGAATTGAGAAACCATTACTTTGGCGAGGAACAATTTATGGTGCTTAAGTCTCACCATCTCAGAGGTCTAAGTCCAAAGTGCCAGAACAGACATTTTACAAAAATCAGTGGCTTTCGACACGTAGGAAGGGAATTGTAAAATACTGCCAGGGGTTTCCAGGGAGTTTATGTGATAGGCAACATATTATTCAATGATCTGGGTCCCCAGGTTTCTGTTGTACACAAATGGAAACAGTGTGGACTGGGTGTAGAGTCGTAAAGACGGCTTCCTCATGTCCTCATCCTCAGGGGTTACCTGTCATTTCACCTTCCACCCCTCAGTCTCCCTCAGAGCCTGCAAATCCTGGCTTTTTCTTATTTCCAGCTCTTGCCATTCCTTCGAGTTATGCTGACCCCTAGAGGCCATGCAAGTGCAACTCTTCAATCACAGAGCTGTGGCCCATTAGTTATACAGGATTTTATCAGGAAGTTGTTTCAAAGGATAACTATGTAAAGGAGGGGGGTGGGAGGGGGGAGTGATGGAAGTGTTTCCCTTAGTGGAATCTAGTATTATTGACATTTTTATTTTCCAGTGTAATTTATTCAGCTCCACCTTCTTCACAAAAAATGAGAAGACACGATGTGAAAGTATAACATTCACTATGTAAAGTGGAAATGAGCTCATGGTCTCCCTTTGCAGACTTTAACGCTTCATTCAGCCAAATTGCCACTATTAACTTACTTCTGAAGGGATTCCTTATTTTTCCTATTTCTGCATTTTAAGAAAATGACTTTTGGTTTCAAAACATTCTCTTGCGTTAATCACATTAGGTGGTGGTGTTATTGTCTAACAGGTGCTGTTAAAAGCTTAATAGAATCCTTTGGGATTGTGACAGTTGTGATCTACACAACACTGTATGTGTATGTGTATGGATATGGGTATGGGGCATACGTGCTGCCGAAAGCTTTAGAGACAGAGCTCGGGAAATTCTTATATCTTGTGTCAGACGCCTTTCAGCTGCTTAGTCGTATTCACTTTAATTGAAACAGTGTGCAAGGAGTGGTACCAGCAATGCAGTATCACAGCTGACTTGTCAGTAGGTGATTATTTTTATTATCAGGAGCCAGCCCGGCGGCAGAGCAGTAGGAAGGTCAGATAATTGCGTCTGATGTTGTGGAAAATACTTCTTGTTGGTGCACATGCGAAGAGATCAGCAACTGCTGATGGCACAGGGAAGATTAGGTCTGGGTCAGCAGACCTAATATCTCCACGGGGTGGAGAAGGGGAAGAGAGTGGAGGAGACCACCAACACTTCTGGAAGTTTCTTCCCATAGTTTAAATTGCTAGTGCTAGGTATAGTAAAGAAGCAGCTATTTCTGCCCTTAAAGTCTGATGGTATCTTATTGTCAAATAAAAATTGGTCAGTGGGAATTGATTTGGATATAGGGGTCATTTTAAATATTCTCAACTATATTTGGAGGTATAGTTTGCCTGGTTTTGCCTGGTTTAGCGCTTTTGTCTATGAATTACCATACAACCTTTTTTGGACAAAGTCAGGTAACCCAGACTCTTATGGAAATTTTTGTTTGTTTTTATCTCTTTCTTTGAGAACACGGAGGATAAAAAGAGTATATCAGGGATTTTTGTCACTACAGGAAACTATGGGGCTTTCTCTGGATCCAGACTTTTGAAGTATAGAATGTGGATTAGGGCAGCAGTAACTAAACTAGGAAATACAGGAAGGGTATGTTGGGAGAGAAGAGAATTGTATTTGGAGGCACCCAAGGTAGAGATATCCAGCAGACAGAGGAAGTGTGCCAAAGCTTGGGGAGACTTCAGTGCTGGAAATGGGATAAAGACAGCCGTGCACAGCTTCTTGGGGTTGACATTTCCACTGCGTGATGCGTTATACTTCATAGTTACTGGTTGAATAAATGAAACAGGAGAGACAAACACAAAGACTTGGAATCAGTAACAACTATGGACAGCAGGAGAAGGAATTTCTTGGCCAACCCAATAGCTTATGCTTTTCTCTTTGAAAGCTTTAGAATGTAGTGTACAGGTATTTTTCTTCTCTTATTTAACTTGCTCACTTATTAATGGACCTTAAGTTAAATTTACTTCATTTCTTGTTTTTTCCTCTTTCTGTTTCTCTTTTTTCAGTTCCTCAATGTTGGACGCTGGATCTTCTGAATTAATCCTGTGTCTTATTTTTTTCTGTTTTCATTTTCAGTCTGGGTCTCCCAAGAGAAGTCACTGTTTTGTCTATATTATCTTGAGCATGGCATGTCTCTCCTAACCAGCAGTTGGGCCGTTTTGCATCAGTTTTTGTGGGTGTGTGTTCTGGAAGATGCCCTCAAGGACCTCCCAGACACACGCTTATTAATCCCCCTGACTTCAGACTCTCTTCCGCTTTCTGAGAAAATTACTATAGGATATACTCCAACAAAAGAGGAATGTAAGAGAGAGGGAAGCCAGTGGATACAATGCTGCAGAACAGGGAAGTCCCAGGACAGCTATGCAGCAGGCAGAGAGAACAATTTACCCAAATTGGAGTAGGGGGACCAGAGGACTCTAAGAGAGATGCCTTTGAATTAAAGAGGGGAAAAAAGACGGACAGATAGATTACCTTGTATATTTAACTGAATTGGAGGTTTAAGATCAGATGGAAAGTTTGGGGCTGAATTATTATATAAAAAATTAAACAAAATGAGGTTATTATTAACCTTGAGGACAATAAACTTGTACCAAAGGGGGAGACAAATGTAAACATATAGCAGTAGTCAGCTCAGTATGAACAACATTTATGTAAGCATTTTAAGTCATAATAAAACCAATAGAACGAAATATCATGATGCATGAAATATTAGTAGCATGACAGTTTGAGATGTGTTCATAAGAAAATATGAGAGTTAAATCTTTGAAGTTGAACTGAGATTGTTGGAAATTGTTTAAACTACAAAGGTTTAAGTATTTAATACATCTAAAGAAAAACAAGTAGAACTTAAAAATATAAAAGCTAAGTGTAAGATTTTGGCAAGCTAAATTTTCATCCATTGGAATAAGTAGTCTATGGATGTGATCAAGTAGTCTATAGACGTGATCAAGATGATAAAGTTCAAAGTAGTCTTATAAAGTGTATTACTTAGCTTATATCTCTAGAATTGAAAAGAGAAATATTCAGTATGTCTCTAGGGAATAAGAGTGTTGAATTTTTTATCATGTACTGTATTACTTAATTTTAAATCATGTGCACACAAAAGAAAATATCCTAGAAAATAGAAAAGAACCAGGAGTTGAGGTCCTAGACTCTAAAGGAGAAAAGAATTTTAAGAACAGTGCACTTACAATGAGACAAAAGTAAATAAAACTGTGGGAAGGCAGCTGTCAGATCAATCACTGGCAATCTTTAAAATAATTGATTTTTCTCTTTCAAAGTTGGTAGCAAGTCAGTAGAATGCATGGGAGTAGTTGAGAGCAAAGGACATAGAAAAAAAGATGGAGGTGATGTTATCTCTGAAAAAGAGGGTAAGGAGTGTTTCAGAGCATTTGGGTCTGATGACTTTCCTTTGAGGATAATCATTTTCTACAAATGAATAAAGAGGTGATTTTGACATTTGAGAAAAGTGCTTTTCAAACCTCAACATGCTCCATAATCATCTGGAGGGCTTGTTAAACAGATGCATTGCTGGGTCCCACTCCCAAAGCGTCTGATTCTATAGGACTGAGGTGGATCCACGAATTTCCCTTTGTAACGAACCACCAGGTATTGCTGATGCTTCTAGTTCAGAGAGCAATCTGAAACCCACTGGGTACTGCATCCTTTCAGAGAAGGCAATGGCACCCCACTCCAGTACTCTTGCCTGGAAAATCCCATGGACAGAGGAGCCTGGTAGGCTGCAGTCCATGAGCTTGCTAAGAGTCGGACATGACTGAGCAACTTTACTTTCACTTTTCACTTTCATGCATTGGAGAAGGAAATGGCAACACACTCTAGTGTTCTTGCCTGGAGAATCCCAGGGATGGGGGAGCCTGGTGGGCTGCCATCTATGGGGTTGCACAGAGTCGGACATGACTGAAGTGACTTAGCAGCAGCAGCAGCAGCAGTGCATCCTTTAGAGATGAGCAAAGATTTGCACTGCTCTTTTCTCTATGTCTGGAATACCCATCTCACCCCACCAGCATCCCCTCTTTATAAAGGTACATGTGAATAGTTCT